TCCGCGGCGCGGGGGGGAGCCGGGCGCGCGGTGCCTGATGGCAGCTATAAGGGGTGCTGCATGCCCATTAAAGCTGCCATCAGGCACCCCCCCATAGGTTGGCACCCCGGGCAGCTGCCCGGCTAGCCCATGCCTTAATCCAGCCCTGATTTTGCCCAGTACTAACTTTCTTACAAGTTTTACAAATTAATCCTTGATTGATAAAGCAGTTAAAATAGACTTTTTTAGAGAATGTTTTTATGTAATTTAGGGATAACTGTAAATCAAGTAGTGATGTTGTAGTGTCTGAACCTAAGAATCAAGACTGAAAGCTGCAATAGATCTTTGTAGGAGTGAAAAGTGGCTTAAAAATTAGATACTTTCTATCATTTCCTGATTACTATTAGTGAGGAAATTATCAGCTTCCATTACTGGAGGTTGCAGCTGCTAGAGCCACATGTTTTCACTTACTGAAATCTTCTTTTAGGTGTGGTTTGGAGATGATAGTCCTCTAACTCCACGAAGTCCTCTGACTCCCAGACATGGCCCAGGCTTGGCAGATGTTTTCCTGTACGATCAGTGGATATCTGTGCGGCATGAAGCAACTCTGGTGCCTATGCAGGAAGATCTGTCCATTTGGCTATCTGGACTGCTGGGTAATGCTAAAATATGTTGTTGTGTAATGAATTTGAAAGATCCATTATTCTGGTCAATGTTGACCTTTCATATTCACTCACTTGGAGCATTTTCATGAATGTGGCTAGGCTTGTGTAATGAAAGTCGCATAAAAATGCATGTTCTTGTTTCAGATTTTATGAGCTGACAACTGTCTATGCTGTCTTAATACCTCTCATTTATATTTCCTGTTCAATAACTACTCTGTCTAGTCTAATTAAATGACTATTTTATTTGATTTTTTTATCTGAGTTTTAATAGAAGCAGTTTTTATAAATAAACCTATTAATGTATGCTCATTCTTTTTTTAGAATCTAAAGCTATAGGGTATAACTAAAACAGGCTGAAACAATGCATGTCAAGAAAGGGGAAACATGGTACAAATACTGATTTAGAGTTGTATTTCTGTTTTCTGTAACCAATAAAAACTTACACTTTATTATTACAGTGGCAGATTTCCATGGTGAACAAGTAAGATAGCAGAAACGTTAAAGTTTACACCAGTCATCGTTTTTAGTTGAATACAAAAAAAAATTGTGCTCAAACTACTGGTGATCTCACTTCTGTTGTAGACTACAGCTTAACTTTGTCTTTTTTTTTTTTTAATGATGGAGTGCCATATCTGAGTTGTCTGCATATAGTTTGTTAGCTTCCCTTTCTCTGGAATAAATTTAATATTTTTCCACATTTTTATTTTCAGGGGTAGAAGTTGCAGCAGAACAGTTGCTAGAAGAGCTTGATAATGGCGTACTACTCTGTCAGTTGATTGGTGTCCTTCAAACCACAATTAAAAAATGCTGTAGCTCAAAGGACTTACGGGTATATCGTCTGACTATTACAGTAATTTATAAATGTCATTGCGTTGTGTGTAATCCCCCTTTAACTGAATTTAACGAAATGGTACTCTGCATGAATTGTACCTGGAAATAAGAAACATGAAATCTTGATAGATCAAATAACTAGCTACAGTTGAGATGTTGGCTATTCATTGGGGGAGAAATCCTACTATCATCACTTCAAGAAGAGGTATGCTGGTGGAAGGTCTGACTTAAAGACCTTAGGAACTGCCCTCTCAATGCTCTGATTCCTATTGTGGGCATGGGAGGGCTAACAGGATAGGGGAAACCAAAACTGTTGACACTTTATGCAAATTTTGTATCAACATTGATCACCAGGCTAGAGCCACTAATACCTAAAATAAAATGTGTATGGGAGACTTGTTCAGGTACCACTTTAGGTAATAAAGACATGTGGCAGAAATGGATGAAACTCACAATTTATATAAACTAGAAGATTGAAGTCTTTATGATATAACTGCACCCTGACCCACATGTGCAAACATTCACACATGCAATGTGTGATTGAGATGTACAAAAGATAGAATAGTGCTTTCAATGTATCATAAATATGCTGAATCACTGATTCCACAAGTTAATTTTTTCATGGGGTGGGTGGCTGCACCACAAGAACCTTGGGCTACACCTTTCATGTGCTCTTGACCTCCTTAATTTGGCAACCCTAGGAAACAGGGTATACTGGATTAAAGATTTTGCTGCTCCAGGGAGGGTGGTCTGGGTGTGCGGGGGTGGGGCGTTTACCTTCTGCCTTGCTAACGGAGGCGCAGATCGCTCTACACTCCCTGCCACTCTCAGGCACCGCCCCTTGCTGCTGTGGGAGTGACAGGAAAAAAGCCTCAGGAGAAGCAGCTCTACGTGCTGCCATTCCCCCAGTTTGGAGAAGGGAGACTGGCAGCGCACAGGACGTCTTCATCTTCCATAACAAGGATGCACTCGGATTAGGGACCCTGAGAGGATGGAGGTTCAAGTGTATTCCATAACTAACAACAACAACTCCTGATATCAATGTCCAGCCCTGGCAGAAAAATGGGTATAAAAGAAATAACTTGGAAGGAATTAGAATAAAGAATAACCTCCAACATAAAGGATCTGTTGTAATCCAGATAGCCCTAGAGCTGTTTTTGCTAGAAGTACTGTACATAAAAATAGGAGTCAGTGTTGTTGGGTGTTTTTTTAGAGATGCAAAGTAATCATGTGATGGCAGCAACAGTTAGCATCTACCAGTTGATAGAAAACACTTACACTACTGTTCCCTTTATCCAAACTCACTTTCTTTTTTTAGATTATTACTCTGTGTTGTAGAAGCTGAAAGGGAGACCATTATTTTTTAAAATAGCTAAATATAGTAAGGCTAAAAATCCATAACTAACTGCTAGCATTCTTTGTGAAAGAGTTGCTTGATAGTAAAAAGGGGGCAATTTCCACAGCACACCATATTGTATTTATAAGCTAAGGGCCTACTGAATTCACTGATCATTTTAGTAAATTTCATGGTCATAGCATTTTTAATTCTCCTCAGTTCTGTATTCTCATCCACCTTTTCATCAACTATTGGAAGTGGCCCACATCCACGCTGATGGAATTGACCTCGTTAGCACTGGTCCTCCGAATAGTAATAGAACACTCCCACCTTTACATATGTGTATATCCCTGCCAAACTGAAGTTTGCAGTTCAGGCATCTGGTGAAGTGGGTTCCAGCCCACACAATCTTATATCCAAATAAATGTGTTAGTCTCTAAAGCACCAGAGGACTCCTCATTGTTCATACATAAACTACCTTTTTAAACTGTGTACGAGAATGATGACTTGCCCCTTGTAGGCCTCGTGTTAGTCTCAAGCACCAGAGGACTCCTCGTTGTTCATACATAAACTACCTTTTTAATCTGTGTACAAGAATGATGACTTGCCCCTTGTAGGCCTATATCTGACATGACTTTCCCCATCTGACAGCAAATGGGGGAAAATCTTTGTTTGCATTCCAGATATGCATATAGGTTACATCAGCTATAAAAACTAATACAATAGTTATTAGCCAGCCATCAATGTTGTATTTTAAATGTCACCTTATTTCATCTTATGGAAATGTGTTTCAAAATGTCACTTATCTGTGCACAGCATATGTACATTATTTTTTTTATTTTACATTTTTTGTCAGAATTTTCCTATGAGACGTGTCCCATGTAAGAAGAATGCACCGTCAGGATCCTTCTTTGCAAGAGATAATACAGCCAACTTCCTTAACTGGTGTAAATGCATTGGAGTTGATGAGACTTATCTCTTTGAATCTGAAGGTTTAGGTAATTTATCCCTTTTTGTAAAGTTATTCTGGGGGCATAGAACTCTGTATGGGCCCACTCTTTAGCTTACTGTGACATTTTCTTAGGGTGCCCAGGATTGTGACTCTTCCCTCTTCCTCAGCTACAGAGAAGTCTTACTGGTGTGAAACTGTGCCAGTTTCCTGACATACAGATAGCCACCCAAATGCATGCCATAGGACTTATTTTTGCCTTGCAGGCTAATGTTTAATGTACCCCCATGCCTGACCTTGGCAAAAGCATCCCCCTGTAGCATGCAGCCCCTGGCATAGGACACTCATAGTAATTACCAACATTTGCTGTCTCCATAGCTGGAAGGTTACACCTCAGGATCAGGTCCTCTATAATAATGCTGAATTGCAATCGGTTTATGGTGAAAATGACTAAGTTTATTAACCAAGAACAGAGATTCACAGATTCAAAAGCGTAGTGAGTAAGACTAATAAAAACTAATAGTTACAAATGTAACACATTTCCTAGAGAGTAAAGTCTAGCAGGCTATAATCCTTCTCCAAAACCATCCCTCACCTAAGACTTTCTACATGGCTTGCTGGTTTTCCATTCTAACCGGGACTTAGATTTTATCCCTACATGCTTTGAAAGCATGGCTTGCTGATTTTCTATTCTAACTGGGACTTAGATTTTATCCCTACATGCTTTGAAATGTCGTCTTCTGAAGTGCATCCCCAGATAAGATTTCTCTGACATGCTGATACCATGTTGTGTTCACATCTCCCATCAACCTATTGTTCCTCTTCACTTGACATGTAAAATGGAGTACCTTTGTATTGACTTTACCGTGCTTAATTTACATTTTACTAGGCCCCACAAGGGGTGGGGCAAAAGGGACAGCCTTTTATTGACTTTACTGTGCTTAATTTACATTTCACTAGGCCCCACAAGGGGTGGGGCAAAAGGGACAGTCACCCCAGAGCTTGGTGATTCAAAGGGGCATTGAGCCCTTTAAATTGCTGACGGAGAACTGTGCAGCATGCTCCGGGCAACTCTTCGGGCTGCCTGGGAAGGCTCTCTGCCTCACTCTGTCTGCCAGCCCAGAACCTGGCCCCCTGCACCTTCACCAGGAGCCTGATGTGGCTGTTGACTCCCCTGCATTTCACAGAGAGAATTATCTTCCCTCGTGTTTGGAATAAACCATGTTCTCCCTTTGGTTACAGACTTCAAAGCATTATATCTGTACATATACATCATTTCTCATATAATCTTCATACATCCATTTATAATCATCATGATCAATATGTCACTAGCATTCATTTGATACCTCACAAGATACTTTTGGATAAATACTATGAACATAGTGTGTTAGGTGTAGTGAACTTGTCAAGCCTGATGGGCTTTTAAAGCCATACTTGAGCGACAGGAATAATCGTATAAGTAGTGATAGGGACTTTGATTGATAGACTGTTCATGTGAGAGAACCTTTGGAGGGTCAGTTGCTTATGGCTGCATTGAGTTCTCTGACTGAATAGTGCTTTTGAAGCCTCTGAAAAGTTGCGCTGTGGGAGGGAAAAAATTAAAAATAGTGCCATGAAATGTCAAATTTTCTGCATAATCCTGTCCCTCCCCAAATTCAAACTGATTGAAAGACAGATGTGTGGGTTTTTTTTAAGTGGCAAGATACTGCCTGGACATTGTTAAAACACACACACACATCCTTTGCTCAGTATTAGAAAGCTTTCTTACTGTATAAAGGGCTCCAGAATAGCACACACGTGATGGCTACATTAGAGAGCTACGTTGAGAGATTGTGCCTGAAGTTACAACAGACTCTTAGTAATTAATATTTACCTCCAGATCTACCCTATATGACTCAATGCCTTACTTTTCCTCCTCTAACTAGATGGTTATGAAAACCAAGATTGTCAAGTGAGTTTATGCCTCTAGTGTTCAGCTTGTACCTGGTAACCAGCAGCTGCTGGACTGATCTTCCAGATGGCATGAAATCTGTTACTGCTCCTTAAGAAATGTTGTATATTTATTGTAAGATAATTAATTAAATGTTTTTGCATCACTTACTTTTATATGGAGACAAACAAGCATTAGCCTTTCTGGAGCAACTCAAGTATTCTTTAAATATTGCAAAGTTATTTACCTGTCAAAAGAACATGAAAAAATTACCTATATCTGCAGTGTGCATCAAAACTTTCAATAGTGACCAGAAATGTAGTTGGCAAATACAGTAAAGGAATAAAAGATTTTACATATTTAATTTAAAAAAACAACCCTTTTATTACACACTGCTAATGCTTATGACACTTTAATGGCATCTGTCACTGCTTGCTTATTTTAATTCATTCCTACCAGTTCTTCACTAGACTGTTTTTCTACTAAATTAGAATGAAATATATAAATAAATGGGATTCCTAGCTAAGTTATATATAATTTAACTTCATAGTCATACATTTATTGTTCTATTTCAGTCTTCAGAGGTGCAAGTAGAAGGAAACAAATGCTCTAATGGAGTTAGATTGTATATATCCTTGGTTCCCTCTGTATAAACTGAAGAGCTTGAACTCATTAACTGCACTCTGACACAAGTACTTAAAATATATTTAACTTCCTTGGGATCAGCAGTCAGGATTCCCTAATTCTGTATTGTTTTGTTTGTAGCTACAAGTATTTTGAAGTCTGTTTATTGCTATTTTCAGAAACTGGTTTCGTGGCATAAATGCCAACTTTGTGGTCCTTTGGCAATGAGTCTCTTTAAAGAGACTGCAAATCTCGCCCCAGTTCCCTTCCTTCCCAGGCAAGCTTTCAAGCTCTTGTTAAAGGGTGGAATGGGAATGCTTTTCTGATTTGGCAGTTACCCGTTCCTGTAGAAGAGATGTGCATTAGCAACAACTTTTAAAATAGACGGGAGGTTATAGAAGTAGCAAACTGAGGGTGCATCTACACTGCACAGTAGCTCGAAATAAGATACGCAATTTGAGCTATATGAATTGTGTATCTTATTTAGAACTTATTTTGAAATAGCTTATTTGGTAATTTGGTGTTGTGTACACAGTGCCAAATTTTGAAATAACCCACTAGTCCAAAATGTCCCTTACTCCTCCTGGAATGAGGTTTACAGGGACGCCGAAATAGCGAGCCTGTTATTGCAAAATAACGCGCACGCTGAAAAGATGCAGGCTAGCAATCTCGGAATACCTCCGGTATCCTGAAGTAGCACTGCAGTGTAGATATAGATGGGCAGTAGTCTGCTTCTACTTGCTCTGTCCATCTAACCCACTCTGATACCAAGCCAAAAGTCTTGATTGCAGGTGAGCGCCATCTATAAACTTGAGACTTCTGTTTGTGATCCTAGGCATAAAGCTGCTCGTCTTCACAGCCTATCCCACCCTACCCATCTTCTCTCGTTCACTATTGAGATGTCAGCTCCCAACTCTGATTGGTTCTTTGTCAGATTCCATCACCCACCTGTTAAATTGTCAGGCAGGCACCTTCTGTCTTGTTGAAAGTGTTTTGTAATATCCCACTTGAAAACTTTGTCTTGTGTATTTATACCCTGAAAACAAGATATAGAAAGATGACTCTTAGGCAGGGATGGGCATTAATTTTTGCCATGGGACCTAAACGGGAAGGGGTGGGGCTGCCTCACCCCCAGACGATGATTGGTCTGGTGTTAGGGGTGCCCCTTTGCCTCTTGTGTATTTATACCCTGAAAACAAGATATAGAAAGATGACTCTTAGGCAGGGATGGGCATTAATTTTTGCCATGGGACCTAAACGGGAAGGGGTGGGGCTGCCTCACCCCCAGACGATGATTGGTCTGGTGTTAGGGGTGCCCCTTTGCCCCCCCCTTCCAAATAGGCACCCATGCCCTGGAAGAGGCTTGGCATGCTCCTTCACCTCCAGGCCAATCAGGGCTTGGGGGCGGGGGAGTGCGCGAAGCCGCCTCCTGCCCTGTGAGGAGCATGTGGCGCTTTGAAGCACTGCGTGCAGGGCGGAAGGGAGAGCGGAGGAGGCTTCATGTGCTCCCCTGCCCCCAGGCCAATCAGGGCCTGGGGGTGGGGGAGCTGCGTGAAGCTTCCTTCGCTCCCCTCCCCACCCTGCGAGCAGCGTGAGGTGTTTCAAAGTGCCACATCCTCCTTGCAGGATAGGAGGAGGCTTCGCGCGCTCCCCCGCCCCCAGGCCAGTTAGTGCCTGGGGAGTGCCTGAAGCCTTCTCCGCTCTGCCCCTGCTGCTTCCAAGAGGTGGGGGAGCAGCAGGGTCTCCGCGGGCTGGATCTACTCGCTTGGTGGGCTGGATCTGGCCCACGGAGGCCCTTTTGCCCATCCCTGCTCTTAGGGAATGGATGAGAACCTTGACCACCTTCTGTTTCTGTACTTAGTTCACAATTCACTCCCTTATCTGGTAAAGCTTTCCAGATCTGAAGCCTGACTTATTTTTTCCTCTGTAGTTTTGCACAAGGATCCAAGACAGGTGTATCTCTGTCTATTGGAAATTGGTCGCATCGTATCAAGGTATGCATTCCATGTATTTTTTTCCAATGAGAAGCTAAAAATTGTATTGTGTTAAACATAAGTTTTAGTGTTGAGTTGCGTACAGTATTTTGCAAATTGCCATCTTTTAATACAATGAAAATAGATTCTGTTTTGGTTCAGAGATTGACAGCCCTGCTGTTATGTACAGCCTGTCCATAGTGTACTCTTCAAAACTTTCCCATTATTGCTCATACCTGCCTGAATGAATGTTTTCTGGAGAGGTACAGCTTCACAATGCTTCTTAATATGGGCTGTGCCTGAATGTCACAATCAAGCACATAGTTATGAACAAGTTGTCTACATTTGTAAGGTGGCGTGGTCATGTATGGGAAACCTAAGTGGCCTCAAAAGAAGAACTTTAAATTTTGTTCTTAAAACTTAAGTTTGAAAAATGCCTCAATTGTTGCAGCAATTTAACTTTGAAACCCTCTAAGGCTTCTCAGTCTCCTGGGTTTTTTTTTCCATTGGTAATAAGAACAATAACTGGACCCAGACAGCAACAAAATGATTCGATCCAATTTAAAGCATATCTGAGAGAAATTCTAACCTTAATGTTATTTGACTTGTTAGATCACTAATCCTCTGACAGATCAGGCTTTACTTATCTGAATTGCCTTTTCTCTGTTCACTTATTCAGCACTTTGCATGCATTTTCTTTGACTCCTTTGTTTTTGTTTAGTTTCATAAGGTCTCCTCTTACCTCATTCGCATCTTTTGTATTTATGTTCAGATATGGAGTTGAACCTCCTGTGCTAGTAAAACTGGAGAATGAAATTGAGTTAGAAGAGACATTGTTAATGACATCTGGGCCTGTGACATCTGTCAGCACCCCACAGTCATGTTGCCACCATGGGGAACTGCATGAAGCAGTAAGTATTCTGCATATGTCCTACAGTGTTGGCTTTGAATTACTCCAGCTCCTAATTTTGCATATGTGCTATTTAGATCGTTAAATACAAGGATTTTCTTTGTAGCATATGTGTACCCTCTTGCACTGAAAAGGCAACAATATGCCTCCTCCAATGGACGTAATGTACATAATACGTCTTTTTATGTATAAGTGGTTATGTTACCTGAGTACAGAACAGATCTCTCAGCATAGGGAAAGCTTGTACTGAAATCTCTCCATCCTTCTTTCCTATACTGATGGAAGACAGGAAAACACTCACCGGTTAAAAAAATAAATAAATAAATAAATTGGAAACTCAATGTAGCATATTAGATGGGTAAGTCTTAACTGGTATTATTTAATGATGTTTGACCAAACTATCTAATATGAAAAGAATAGGCTCTTTTAAACATACATTACAAAACAAAAGGCTTTTTATATGAAAACTTGCTGATGAAACACATATGCTAAAATATCTTGGTGCAATCTGGGAACAAATTTCTGCAGTTGCACTCTTAAGGAAACAGACTTTCATGCAGAAAGGAAATGAATCACTTAGCTTGTGAACAGGCCATAAGGGACTGATACACAGCTTCTCTAAATTACTTTAAAAGGAGTATTTAAGCCTAATGTTTTAAAAATAACTTCCTTCGTGGTCTGTGACTTCATAGTATGACAAAATCCATCGTGACATGCACTTCAAGTTGTGAAAATAATAATAAACAAATCACACCTGCATCTCATTTTGACTGCTTTATTCAATTTTGCTTCTCTGGAATGCTCCAACTCTGTCTTTCTCTATTGAAGGGTGAGTAATTCTGTAGCTCAGCAGCATTGTTGCATTTCTATTTTGCACCCATTCTTTGAATCCCTTTCTCTACTTTTTAAAATGAATATTATTCTTCAATTCTAAGGGAAGCCACCTGCAACTTACCTTTTTTATTGTCTAGGCTGTTTCTCTTTTGGTCTCTTTTCAGATATGTTTTTCCTTTGTAAGATTACAAAAGATTTCCATCTGTCTTGGAGAATACTAGTGCTTTTGAAGCAAGTACAGATTCTTCACCAATTTGTTCATCTGATGAAATAGGTCAGACTAGGCCTACTAAAAATTCAAGAATTCAAGAAAGGCCTAGTCATCTGGTAAAGAAAAGGAAGGGAATTTAAGTAGAAAAAAGTGTTTTATTAAAATGAGAAATTAGAAGAACCAGATGTGAGCTACTCCATAAATTAATCTTGTGTGTGTGCATATGTGCTCGTGTGTGCCTTTTTACGACATTTTTTTATATTCCATCTAGGAGTTTTATCTGTCAGTCTTGTAAGGAGGGAAAGTATTTTGACAGGGATATATTTAAACTTTTGTCATGATTAAATGACCTATGAATGGTTAATCCACCAAAACAAAAATATTACACATGTAATCTTATAAAAAAAAAAAATTAAAAAAAATCCTTTCACTTTTTTAACAGTTACTTTCCTTTTTGAAATCTAGGTTAAGCACATAGCAGAAGATCCTCCCTGTAGCTGTTCCCATAGATTTTCAATTGAATACTTATCTGAAGGACGTTACAGATTGGGAGATAAAATACTCTTCATACGAGTAAGTGCAGTTCTTCAATGTTTCCTCACCTTATCTGTTAGCTTTCCGTCTGTCCTATCTGGCATGTGGTCTGAGCTTTTTCACTTGTGCTGTATAGACATATGAACCCAATAGGAATGCACAATCTGCACATGTCTTGTGTCTGGATTCATCCCTGGACCATTGGCAGTGGCCTCCAGTCGTCTTTCCCTTGGGTAAACTGTAGTGACTTAGGAACATAACAGGGAGGGAATAAAATTTAGACACACGCATACTGAAAGTCAAGGCTAGTAGATTGTTGTAATGGCCTATTAGAATATCCATACACCTGTCTGAAATCATGATCATTTTATATCTTTAAAACCTTTAAAAGGACCAAAATTCGAGGATGGTCCATCAAAATCTACTCACTACCAGGCTGACAGAATGGCTTTGACCTCAGCTTGGAAGGGGTGGTAATTGGGCTCACTCTGCAAATAAAGTTGTGAGAAGCAGAACCAGCAGGAACTTTAGTTTGGTCACGAGGCAAGATTATTATTTTTTTTAATTTTATTAAACCTGGCTTAGAAGCTGATGTGTGGAGAGATTGGGTGGGAGCATTACAGCGACCTCTGTACTTGACCATTGATCGTATAGTGTGTGTGGCAGCCACGACACTTTGGAGTAAGCAGAGAGAGGCAAAAAACATTTTTATTTTATTTTATTTTTTTTACCATCTAATAGTAAAGGGTGGTTGGAGCTTTAGATATAATACTGTATGGCCAAAAGCATCTTGTTTGAACCCTCAGCATCTTGTTCTTCAGTAGCTGTGAATACCTGGAATTCTTACCAGAACACTGCAGATATTGAGGTCGGATATGATAGAGGTCTATAAAATCATGACTGGAGTGGGAAAAAACTTTTCCTTATTCACTATTTACGTGTTCCCATGACATAAGAACTAGGAGTCACCAAATGAAATTAACGGGTAGCAGATTTAAAACAAAAAAGTTTTTCTTCACACCGTGCACAGGCAGCCTGTGGAACTCCTTGCCAGAGGAGGTTGTGAAGATCAGGATATTAACAGGATTCAAGAAAGAACTCGGTTAAAAAAATAAATAAATAAATAAATTGGAAACTCAATGTAGCATATTAGATGGGTAAGTCTTAACTGGTATTATTTAATGATGTTTGACCAAACTATCTAATATGAAAAGAATAGGCTCTTTTAAACATACATTACAAAACAAAAGGCTTTTTATATGAAAACTTGCTGATGAAACACATATGCTAAAATATCTTGGTGCAATCTGGGAACAAATTTCTGCAGTTGCACTCTTAAGGAAACAGACTTTCATGCAGAAAGGAAATGAATCACTTAGCTTGTGAACAGGCCATAAGGGACTGATACACAGCTTCTCTAAATTACTTTAAAAGGAGTATTTAAGCCTAATGTTTTAAAAATAACTTCCTTCGTGGTCTGTGACTTCATAGTATGACAAAATCCATCGTGACATGCACTTCAAGTTGTGAAAATAATAATAAACAAATCACACCTGCATCTCATTTTGACTGCTTTATTCAATTTTGCTTCTCTGGAATGCTCCAACTCTGTCTTTCTCTATTGAAGGGTGAGTAATTCTGTAGCTCAGCAGCATTGTTGCATTTCTATTTTGCACCCATTCTTTGAATCCCTTTCTCTACTTTTTAAAATGAATATTATTCTTCAATTCTAAGGGAAGCCACCTGCAACTTACCTTTTTTATTGTCTAGGCTGTTTCTCTTTTGGTCTCTTTTCAGATATGTTTTTCCTTTGTAAGATTACAAAAGATTTCCATCTGTCTTGGAGAATACTAGTGCTTTTGAAGCAAGTACAGATTCTTCACCAATTTGTTCATTTGATGAAATAGGTCAGACTAGGCCTACTAAAAACCATTTCAAGAATTCAAGAAAGGCCTAGTCATCTGGTAAAGAAAAGGAAGGGAATTTAAGTAGAAAAAAGTGTTTTATTAAAATGAGAAATTAGAAGAACCAGATGTGAGCTACTCCATAAATTAATCTTGTGTGTGTGCATATGTGCTCGTGTGTGCCTTTTTACGACATTTTTTTATATTCCATCTAGGAGTTTTATCTGTCAGTCTTGTAAGGAGGGAAAGTATTTTGACAGGGATATATTTAAACTTTTGTCATGATTAAATGACCTATGAATGGTTAATCCACCAAAACAAAAATATTACACATGTAATCTTATAAAAAAAAAAAATTAAAAAAAATCCTTTCACTTTTTTAACAGTTACTTTCCTTTTTGAAATCTAGGTTAAGCACATAGCAGAAGATCCTCCCTGTAGCTGTTCCCATAGATTTTCAATTGAATACTTATCTGAAGGACGTTACAGATTGGGAGATAAAATACTCTTCATACGAGTAAGTGCAGTTCTTCAATGTTTCCTCACCTTATCTGTTAGCTTTCCGTCTGTCCTATCTGGCATGTGGTCTGAGCTTTTTCACTTGTGCTGTATAGACATATGAACCCAATAGGAATGCACAATCTGCACATGTCTTGTGTCTGGATTCATCCCTGGACCATTGGCAGTGGCCTCCAGTCGTCTTTCCCTTGGGTAAACTGTAGTGACTTAGGAACATAACAGGGAGGGAATAAAATTTAGACACACGCATACTGAAAGTCAAGGCTAGTAGATTGTTGTAATGGCCTATTAGAATATCCATACACCTGTCTGAAATCATGATCATTTTATATCTTTAAAACCTTTAAAAGGACCAAAATTCGAGGATGGTCCATCAAAATCTACTCACTACCAGGCTGACAGAATGGCTTTGACCTCAGCTTGGAAGGGGTGGTAATTGGGCTCACTCTGCAAATAAAGTTGTGAGAAGCAGAACCAGCAGGAACTTTAGTTTGGTCACGAGGCAAGATTATTATTTTTTTTAATTTTATTAAACCTGGCTTAGAAGCTGATGTGTGGAGAGATTGGGTGGGAGCATTACAGCGACCTCTGTACTTGACCGTTGATCGTATAGTGTGTGTGGCAGCCACGACACTTTGGAGTAAGCAGGGAGAGGCAAAAAACATTTTTTTTTTTTTTTTTTTTACCATCTAATAGTAAAGGGTGGTTGGAGCTTTAGATATAATACTGTATGGCCAAAAGCATCTTGTTTGAACCCTCAGCATCTTGTTCTTCAGTAGCTGTGAATACCTGGAATTCTTACCAGAACACTGCAGATATTGAGGTCGGATATGATAGAGGTCTATAAAATCATGACTGGAGTGGGAAAAAACTTTTCCTTATTCACTATTTACATGTTCCCATGACATAAGAACTAGGAGTCACCAAATGAAATTAACGGGTAGCAGATTTAAAACAAAAAAGTTTTTCTTCACACCGTGCACAGGCAGCCTGTGGAACTCCTTGCCAGAGGAGGTTGTGAAGATCAGGATATTAACAGGATTCAAGAAAGAACTAGATAAATTCATGGAGGTTATGTCCATCAACCTAAGCTATAAGCTGGATGGTTAGGAATGGCGTTCCTAGCCTCTGTCAGAGGCTGGGAATGTGTGACTGGAGATGGAGTGCTTGAAGATTCCCTGTTCTGTTCACTCCCACTGGGGCATCTGGCATTGGCCACTGATAAGACAGGATGCTGGGCTAAATGGACCTTTGGTCTGATCCAGTATGGCCGTTCTTGTGTTGTAAAGGACAGCAAGCAGAGATAGAGACAGACAACTTATTTTCTAACTAATAGGCTTAGAAAGCAGAGACAGACAACTTATTTTCTAACTAATAGGCTTAATCTTCTATTGTCTGGGTGTCTAGTTCTTTTTTTTTTTTCCCCAAGTCCTGGCTGTTGGTGCTTTGGTCTGTACATACTAATTTGAAAATATTATTTAACAAGGAAACAAGCCCTGAAGTCATGAAATAGTCACTACACAGAAACCGATCTTTATATATTCATGACTTTCATATTAAATTTGTATAAAATTTTTGTGTTTCATAAAGAAGCTCTCTAAAGAGGTGACAAGTCTCAGAGAGTAGTCATTCTAGTCTGTATCTGTAAAATCCAAAAGGAGTCCTGTGGTACTTTAAAGACTCAAGGTACGTCTAGACTACAGGCTTTTGTCCATAGAAGTTTTGTCGACAGATACTGTCGACAAAGTGCATCTAGATTACATCCGGTTCTGTCGACAAAGCAAGCCACTTTGTCGACATGACAATGTAGACGCAAAGGACAGTGTAGATGCAATAACGCCTTCTGTCGACAGAACTCTGTCGACAAAAGGCGTTATTCCTCGTAGAATGAGGTTTACAGCCATCGACAAAACCGCTGAATTATGTCGACAGAACTCAGCGGCAGTGTAAACATTGACAAAACCCTGTACACAACCAAACCCTAGACACACCCAAACAGATTGATTTGAGCATTACCTACCATAAATATAAATAAGCATTTGTGAGCAAAGCAGGGAACACAGGAAATCACTAATCTCGGTATCTCTTACACTCAAGGAATACAAGAGCTATAGATCCCTGGGAAAAATAACAAAAGCTCATATACCCTTTTCAATGAGTGTATGTTGACCCATCTTGAGAGTCCTAGACCAGTCAGTAAGTCAAGTGAGCATTCTGCCCTCCTGCTATCTGGTGATGGATGGTTGGTGAGAGAGGTGAACATATTCTGCCCTTAAATAAGATTTCTGTTTGTCAGATGACCATCCAATCAGCTTCAGAACCACAGTTTGGTGGTTGTGGGATAGCCCAAGGAACCAATGTCTACACTGCATGCTTATTTTGAAGTAACTCATGTTGTTTAAAGTAACAGAGTGCGTGTCTACACAGCAAGTCCATTATTTCAAGATGGCAGACTTCTTACTCTGACTTCTGTAACCCTCATTTCATGAGGAGTAAGGGAAGTCCAAGGAAGAGTGTTCTTCCTTTGACTTTCGGCTGTGCAAGCAGCACCAAGAGTTGAGTTACGCTACTTCGACTTCAGCTACACAATGAACATAGCTGAAGTTGCGTATCTTAACTCGACATGAGCCTGCTGTGTAGCTATACCCTTGGGCTATGTCTACACTGCCCCCTCTTGTGCAAAAAGTATGCAAATGAGGCGAAGTGTGGAATATTGCCAAGCCTCAGTTGCATAATTAATGAGGCTGCTTTTTGCACAAAACCCCCCTCTTGCACAAGAGCCATTTTTTTTCCAGTAAGAACAGCTCTTGTGCAAGAGGGGCAGGTTTTTGCGCCAAAAATGGAGCCTAATTAATTCTGCAAATGAGGAACAGCGATATTCCATGCTTCCCCTCATTTGCATATTTTTTGCGCAAGAGGGGGCAGTGTAGACATAGCCTCCAAGTCTAAATTGGGAAATCCAGTTTTCTTCTACCTGGTCACACTCTGTAAGTTGGACTCCTTTGGTTGGAAAACAATCATGGTTGATAGTTCCAATTTTGGTCTCTTCAGGGAGATGTCAGGCATTACAATAAGCTGCCCTGCATCTGTCTATGACAGCTGTGGGGAGTTCCTGCTACATACCCAAAAGGTAGGTCAAATTCTTTAAAATGGCAATTAGAGTCAACTGACAGTCACAATTTGGAAAAAAGGTGGATAAGATAATATCTTACTTTGTATGGGGATGTAATTAGGATGCTGTGGCGGAGAACACATCACAGCCCAACATGATAGCATATAATTTTGGAAATGGGAACGACACAAAATGAGAAAGTTAGTTAAACAGAAAGGGCATGTCTACACAGCAGAGCTAAATCTGAAATTCAGAAATCTGAAATAAGCTATGCAACTTGAGCTATGTCAATTGCGTAGTTAAGTTGAAAGCTTATTTTGGCTTTTGTTGCTGTCTGTATAGTAGGAAGTTGAGAGAGCGCTCTTCCTCTGACTTCCCTTAATCCTTGTAAAATGAGGGTTATAGGAGTCGGAGTAAGAAATCCTCTGACTGCACATTATTTCAACATTTATGTTGAAATAACTGCTTGACTATAGATGCAAACTATATTATTTCAGAATAACACGGCTGTGTAGGTATACCCAAATTAAAAGGTACAGTGCCAAAAGTAAAATCCCTGCAAGCTGCATGGAAACTTTTTAAAGTGGCTCAACTTAAATGTATACCCCAAATTCAAAAATACAATAAGAGAATCAAACAAGAGCCACTGTGGCTAAGCAACAAAATAAAAGAAGCCGTGAGACAAAGTATCTTTAAAAAGTGGAAGTAAAATCTTAGTGACGAAAATAGAGCATAAACTCTGGCAAATGAAGGGTAAAGATATAATTAGGAAGGCCAAAAAAGCATTTGAAGAACACGTTGGTAAGCCTAATGTCAGTACCAGGCAAACTGGTTGAAACAATAGTAAAGAACAGAATAATCAGACAAATGAACATAATACATTGGAAGAGTCTGCACAATTTTTGTAAAGGGAAAACATGCCACACCAATCCATTACAATTCTTTGAGGCTATCAACAATCTTTGGACATAGGTGATCTAGGAAATATAGCGTATTTAGATTTTCAGAAAGTCTTTGTCAAAGTCCCTAACCGCAGGTTCTAAGCAAAGTACGTCATCATGGAATGAGAGGGAAGACCCTCTCGTTGATTAAAAGATAGAAACAAAGGGTAGAAATCAATTATCAGTTTTTCAGAATGGAGAAAGGCAAGTAGTGGTGGCCCTCATGGGTCTATACAGGGACCAGTCCTATTGAACATATTCATAAATGATCTCGAAAAAAGAATAAAACAGTGAGGTGGCAAAATTTGCAGATGATATACAAACTACTCAAGATAGTAAAATCCAAAAGCAGACCGCAAAGAGTTAGAGAAGTGTCACAAAACTGGGTGACTGGGCTACAAAATGGCAGATGAAATTCAGTGTTGATAAATGAAAAGTAATGCACACTGGAAAACATAGTCCCAACTATGCATATACAATGATGGGGACTAAATTAGCTATTACCACTCAAGAAAGAGATCTTAGAGTCCTTGTGGATAGTTCTCTGAAACATCCACTTAATATGTAGAGGGAGTCAAAAAAGCTAACACAGCATTGGGAATCATTAAAAAAGGACAAGATAAGACCAAAAAGATAATATTGATTCTATGTAAATCTATGGTATTGCCACATTTTGAAAACAGCGTGAAGATGTGTTTGCCCCATCTTACAAAAAGGTAAGTTACAAAAAGGAGTTAGAAAAGGGCAACAAAAATGACTTTGAGTATGAAGCAGTTTCTATACAGGGTATGATTAATAAGACTGGGACTTCTCATCTAGGAAAGAGATGACTAAGGTAGGATATGAGTAAAGCTTATAAAATCATGACTGGTAGGGAGAAAGTAAATAAGGAAAAGTTATTTACTCCTTCTCCTAACACAGAAATTAGGGTGTCACCAAATGAAATTAATAGGCAACAGGTTTAAAACAAACAGAAGGAAGTATTTCTTCCCACAACTTACAGTCAACCTTGCCAGAGCTCCTTGCCAGAGGACTTTAATCCTCGTTCAATGAGGTTTACAGGATGTCAGAGTAAGAAGCCCGTTATTTCAAGTTAATTTTGAAATAATGGGATTCATGTGCAATAAGCGCGTAACGTTATTTTGGAATAACGGATGTTATTCCAAAATAGAGCGCGTAACGTTATTTTGGAATAACAGATGTTATTCCAAAATAACTCTGCTGTGTAGATGTACCTTACCGGGGTTCAATAGAGAACTAGATAAATTCATGGAGGATAAATTCATCAATGACTATTAGCCAAAATGGGCAGGGATTATGTCCCTAGCCTCTGTCTGTCAGAGCCTGGGAGTGGGTAGCAGAGGATGGATCACTTGATAATTTCCTGTTCTTTTCATTCCCTTTGGGACATCTGACTTTGGCTGCTCTCAGAAGACAAGATACTGAATGGATCTTTGGCCATGGTGGGTCAGGCCATTGTTACATTTTTATGACCAATTTCTGTTGGTGAGACAGATGAACTTTTGAGTTACATAGAGCTCTTCAGGTCTGGGAAAAGTACCCTGGCTACAGCAGCATTGCATGCAACAATCTGATACATACATATACTTGTGTTATTACAGTATAATTCCAGTTATCTGTTTCCTTTTTCTGCAAATCTTACTTCTCCAAATCCAGTTTTCCTCTTCTCCGGCACCCTATGTTAGTTAATAATTGTTTGTTTTATTCTAATACCCAGTTATCTGACAGTTTCAGGTGTCCCCCAGACCACTGTACTGTTTGTATTTTTTTCTTATAATATTATTTGTATAACACCTTGTAGCCCATAGACACTTAGACTGTTGCCCCTACGTAGTCAGTCAGTGTCTCAGTTCCAGGAGGGGAACCTTATTAATGTCAGAAGGGGAGCAGAAAAACCCTGAAATTCTTTCCTATTTAAAACAAGGGGAAATTCAGGCTAATGTATGAGAGAGTGTGTTTCAATACATTCAGATTGATAGTGCCTTACATTTCCTATGTTACAACTAGTAATAAATTGTGTATTAACATAGATATGAATGTAGCGTTCTGTTATCGGTTTCTTCCCTCTTCTCAGATGCTGCATGGAAAACATGTGATGGTACGTGTTGGTGGAGGGTGGGACACTCTTCAAGGTTTTCTGCTCAAATATGATCCATGTCGAGTGTTGCAGTTTGCAACGTGCCTTACATTTCCTATGTTACAACTAGTAATAAATTGTGTATTAACATAGATATGAATGTAGCGTTCTGTTATCGGTTTCTTCCCTCTTCTCAGATGCTGCATGGAAAACATGTGATGGTACGTGTTGGTGGAGGGTGGGACACTCTTCAAGGTTTTCTGCTCAAATATGATCCATGTCGAGTGTTGCAGTTTGCAACTCTGGAGCAAAAAATCCTGGCGTTTCAGAAAGGTGGCCCCAATGAAGTCATCCCCGATTCATCATCAAGAACTCTGCAGCCTTCTTTCATGAGTCCCATATCAGCTGTTAATATGTTTCAGAAACAAAATTCGAAACCACCCACTCCTGTTACAGTTCGAAAAGCTGCCCAGGTGGCCAGTGGCAAGCAGGCATTATCTAAACATCTGCAATCACCTGGCCTGTCATCCCCAAAAGCAGCAACCAAGTCCATATCTGCTCATTCCAGATTACCGGGATCTCCAGCAAAGGGTGCCCAATCTCCTTTCAGAGCCTTAACAGGTGCTTCAAAGAAATTGGATTCTTCTGCGCGTAACGTACCAACTTCCGCTATTTCAAAACTTGCACAACCTGTAAACAAAAGTTCTTCCACTGTATTAAGTACTGCTCCTGGTTGTTCAGGGCCACTGCGCAAACGCATCCGGTCCCCTGATGCTCCTAATGTCAAACTTGCTCCATCCCAGAATTCTCCAGTAGCAATTTTACATCCTGCCCTCTCTTACTCTACAAGTCAGCTTTCAGAGTTACCTGGGACAAGAGAAATGATGGCTTTGAAACAAAAATATGCTCCTTCTAAATGCAAAACTGTATCTAACTCCACGACCAAACCTAATTCAGTTGCTTCAAAATCCTCCTCAAAGTCTGCTGCTAAGCCACCGAAGGCAAATCTGCCTGTTGTTTCTAAGCCTATGCATTCTTATCAGTCTCTTGCAAAAGTAGCAAATCCCACTTCTGAAAGTAATGATGAAGCATCAGGAATAGGGTCCCAGCCTCCCAGAAGACTGCCACAAACAGGGCTTGGCCCAGGGAGGAACCTCAGAACCACTCCAGTCATAAAACAGTCAGATTCTGCATCCTCACTTGCGGTTGGCAAAACATCAGGGTTAATGCCTCCACTGGTCTCTCCAAGCAAGAATATATCTTCAGTTACAAATAAACGACCCGCAGTAAAATGCGTACAGGGACAAGATAGCAGTAGAAACCAACAGATAGAATCCAATTTATCAAAACATCCTGAACGCACACCCTTATCTGTCGTACGACTTCCTCAAACTTCGGCCAAAACACAAATGACAAAGAAGACTGTACAGCCTTCCGCAGCAAGTCAATCTCTAATCAAAACCTCCCAAAAAAGTGGTGAAACCCTGGCTTCAACAGCTAAGAAGCCCATCTCAAAAGGAAAGACTACAACTGCATATCGCAAAGAGACCCCTGGTATGTTGAAAGATCCTATTTTGAAGTCTAAACAAGATGATCACTATTTTGTTATGACAGGCAGTAAGAAACCCAGAAAGTAAGCATAAATATGGTGCTTTCCACTTATGTAACACTAATCACAGTGGTAACACTATGTCTCAGACGTGTGTTGTGTGTGTGTTTTTTAAAATGAGGATTATTTCCTATATAGGGAACCCTTGCCATTCGCAGTGGCTGTGTTCCTACATCTTCCGCCAATGGCTAAATTTGTAAATACTACAAGCTGTGGCTCCTGGCCCGCTCCTCCCCCCTGCCCAGTGAGTTCCCAAACTCACTGCAGGGGCTGGCAGCCATGTGGAATTCACTGTAGCTTCCAGGAGACACAGGGAACTCTTGATTGACCCCCCCCACACACACACACACACTCCCAGCCCCTTGTTACCCACCCCCAAAGCCAGGCAATCTGTGAACATGCAGAACTGCAGATAGCAATTTCACAAATTGCGAGGTTCTCCTGTGTATTCTGCCCATACTTTGTAGTTAAATATCTTTTCACTTTTATGACACATGAAAACTACATTTACTTGCTATTCAACATATAGTATTAACAGAGTATGCCTGTTTGTTGCTGGCATGATGCTTTAAGGCTGTTTTGGTTTTGGAGAGGAGAACTGTTGCTGCTCTTAAAATGATTTTAGCTTATTCTAGATATTTCTCCCAAGCAGGATCCAGATGATATTCAGAACGCTCTGGTACGTCGGTGTCAAGTACCTGCTGACTCTAGTTATGTTTCGTATGCTGTACATGTATTATTGATATCTGTAAAAGTCAATTTATTACAACACAAATAATAGGATTAACACTTACATGAGTTTGCTGAATTAGGATAATGAATCAGATTTTGAATGGATAGTTGATCCATAGAAGAGGAATTAGGACTTTAGGCCAAGATAATGGCTGAATTTTTGGGTCCCCGCTGTGAGATGCAATAGAGTGGCCTGATATTTCAGAACATTCTAAGCATCCATACTCTGACAATCTGTCCTCCTAAGGTATCTCAAGCTGGGCATAAGTCACTTTTGAAAATCTTGATTTTTGGCGTTCATCTATTTTTCGTGCCTTAAGTATGTTGAGTGCTCAGTAATGCACACCCTGAACCTCATGGTTGAATGTCACTGTTCTATTATTATTGTTATGACAAGATGCATTCAAAGGAAAGAGGATGGTGCTGTTGACAATTTTATTAAGTTGCCATTTGTGTTTTTAAAGTGTCTCTTCCCCTTCCCCCCAGGCAATGTTGTTTTGTTTAGATCTGCTATAGTAACTTTACATAGTCATTCCATTTTGGAGCCAAGAAACTGTTTTCCAAAGTGCTAAGTATTCAACTCTGCAGAGGGCTCCATGAGGCTTCTGTACTACTTGCAGAACACTTAAACCCTTAAAATAGGGTTTAGAAGAACTAGTATGGTGCCTCAACCTTTACACAAGTATGAAATTCCCTGAATGAACTAAAACAATGGTCACTTGCACTAATTACCACCTCTGGGTCAGTGTTATCTGAAGTCAGGATATTTTACAAGTTTAAGGAACAGCAGTGCAAGCATTTTAAAGGAATCTTGCCTTAAATTTCATAAATGGACTATGATTGCATGATTTATAAACTAAGAGAATGTTTTTCTCCTCTTAAGGAATTTACCTAGGGGCATATGGAAGGGATATATTATAGTCTAATGTTTTTCTTCTCAGAACTGGAGTCAAACAGCAGCTTATAAATTAATCATGTTTTTTAATTGGCAGCAGCAGCAGCCTCATAGATGTGCCATTATTAGCACCTTGTTAATTCTCTGTTATTTATGGCTATAAAGTATGCATACGTACTGTAGAGTATGTTAGTCTGCTGAAAGTGAATATAGCGTACTGTAACCAGTCTATTGGCTAATACTTTGGAATATTAAATACACCAACTATGATAACTGATACAACATGTCCAAGAAGCTTGTTTAGCTACAAAATTCAGGTAGAAAAAGTCTGTTGCTAAACTGCTTTGTCTACACAATGGTGAGTTTGGCCTAGTGTAAATGGGAAAACTCTAGTGGCTGCAGTTGAATGAATCTCATGCTAGTAATGAATTTGGAGTGCTGACTCATGAACTGAAAAATTCATCTTCACAATGAGACAACTGCTTAAAAGTAGACTTCCAAATATCCTGTAGTTATGATTCAGTACATCTGCTTGGGTAGACTAATGGCAGAACTCTTGGGTTTCTTTGTTATGAACTATTTATGTTTTTAAAGTTCTTTTAAATTGCTATGAAATAATTTCTCTAAGTACATACTAAGTCTGTCATATTTTGAAATATAACATCATGGTTTCAAAGAGGAGGAAATTGGATGATTTCATCTTTGACTTGTAAAAGTTCATGTTTTAAAGGAGATTAAAATTCAAGCTTTACTTTGTGATTCTAACAAACTTCTGAGCTGGGAAAGTATGGCACTGCAGGGGATAAAATATGCCTTATATCTGAAATCAGTGCAATAAGCTCTTAAAAGGTTAAGCAATGCACATTATGTTCCTTCTGAATTTACAGAGATCAACCTGAGTGTTGCGTTGAACAAATGTAATAGTTATAAAATGTTGACCTACATTCAATCTTTAACACAAGTTGCATAACTTGATTAAGGCTTACATCCTGTAACTTGGCATGGAGTGAACTCAAAAAGGATAGCAGTTGTCAGATTTAACAAAACTGCTCTTGTCATTCTGAAGGACTCTGATGGGAAATCTGTAAATTTTTGCAATGTTTACATTGGCAAAAGGTATGTCTAATCTCCTGCTGGTACCAGTTTTGTGTGAAAGAAGTTGAAGCAAGTCACTGCATTCTTGACCCCTTTTCTGTACTAATACCGGTTATTTTAAATAAACTTTTTATACCACACTCTGATTTTAGTCAGTGATTGATTTAAAATGCACAAACTTGTTTTGCATTTTGGTGTATACAATATTGCACTTCAAAAGATGGATTTGTCTTAAAGGTTTATGCTATTGTAGGACAGTGGTGGGCAACCTGAGGCCTGTGGGCAGCAAGCAGCCCATCAGGGTTCTCAGTGTGGCCCACAAAATATTTTGTTTACTACCATAATTACTAGTGTGACATGCATGTGCACTGAGGTGCATGCTGGTTGCATGCAATATTGACCGTGAGAGTGGTGTACTCCTTTTGCATTCCATCAAAGCACTGCTACAGTTCAATCAACACCTCCTGCAAATTCTAGGTAGATAAGCACAGTTAGTAGAATACCCTATCCCGGGAAACCATATTGGTTCTGACAATCTTGTGACCCACTGAGATGGAGGGCCATTCATGTGGCTCCATTCGCTAGCCTGGGTTGTCCATTGCCATTGTAGGACAAAACATGAAGAAAATTCTGTCAAGCCAACACTAAGATACAAAGATCTGTGCCCAACCTACTTGCTTTGGATTAGATTCCAAAATTTTAATTCCATGAGTTCATTTCAGTGAGGCTAATCACAGCACAGAGATCTGATTTTTAGACTAGTCACATCTTTTTGCACTTCAAATGAGTCCCAAAGCTCTTGGTTCACAGTACTTTTATTTCCAGCTTCCTTTAAATTAATCACTTGTACTCCAGGAGCCTGAGAGACAGCTGATGTGAGCTCTTCATCAGTGACACTTCTCACAGATGCATGCAGGGGAGGGACAGGGGCTCATTTTGCTGTCTGAAGGAAGGATGGATTTTCAACCTCTGACGGTCTGTATTTTTATTGGGGGGAGAGTATGTAGACCTCATTACCTGTGTGTATATAACTTAATGTTTAATAATGAGCCATTTTACTATAGAAGTCCTCAAGTCCTATTTTTGGATTGAGGTATCATTAAGGGGTTGCTGTTCAAACATGAGATTACTTGTATTGTGATTCCTCACAATACAACATATTTATTAAGAAAAGGGCAGCTATCTTGTCAAGTAGTTTATTTTCCTTGTTATGATACCTCCCCACTACAATCTTCTGCAGAGGTTACAGTAAAATATATTAAATCTGTACAAAATAGTAAAAAGTTACTGGTGTGAATAAATTGCAGAAATATTATTAGTGTTACATAGAGGCAAAACCTTTCCTTCCTCATTGATAAAATGGATATTGGCAGAACAGTTTAATTTTTTTTTAAATCAAACTCAGTGACACTTTCCTTCATCATTCAAATTAATGGATTATATACATGGAAGAATGAGATGTGCACATTAACACAGTAGTTGCAGGTTTGCAATTAAGTCAATCAGATCCCAGCTTTATACTATAATGAGCCACATTCAAGCCTGGCAAGCATCATTCATCTCCCCTGAGTTCAAGAAATGCAAGTATTGGTGTTGGGTAGAAGGAGGGAAATGTTGCAAGACACTTAAAATGGCAACTGAATGGAATTTTGTAAATTTACAATCTTTCCCCGCTCTGTGAATGTGTTTATAATAAAAAGGAGACTGCTAGTGTTGGTCCAGCTGAAGCTATTGAGACAGCTGCCATCCTTGCTGGCTAGTGTAGGAGCCTTATAATTATAAGCAAATGCAGGAAGAAAATTGGTTCAAATCGACTTACAATTAAGTGCTAAAAATTGTTGAGACATATGGGCTACGTCTCAACAGCTTCCTTTTTATGCAAAAGCCTATGCAAATGACGCATAGATTAGATATGGCTGTGCTTCATTTGCATAATTAGATGTTTTTGCGCAAGAGGTTTTTGCACAAGAGCTGTTCTTTCTTAAACGAGGAAGAATGGCTCTTGCTCGGGGGGGTTGCACAAAAAGGCACTGTGTAGATGGCACTTTTTTGCACAAAAAACGTTTGCGCAAAACCAGCTCCAAATTAATTATGCAAATGAAGCATGGCAATTTGCTAATCTGCACTTCATTTGCATAGGCTTTTGTGGAAGAGGGAAGCTGGGTAGGTGTAGCCATGCATTATAAACATGTGGACAAGTGTCTGTCTAGACAAATTTACTCAAGCATTAGTGCCCTACATGGCTGTGTCTACACTGCAGGGCTTAACTCAAAATAAACTAAGCAAATTGAGCTACAGCAATTGCGTAACTTATTTTGAAATAGCTTATTTCAAAACGGTGAACGACAACACAGCACTTATTTCAAAACAGAGCACTCTTCCTCCGCCTTCCCTTACTCCTCATGCAATGAGGGTTACAGGAGTTGGAATAAAAAGTCCTCCAGCTTGACAGTATTTTGACACTATTTCAAAATAACTACCTACTTTATAGACGCAGACTAAGTTATTTCAAAATAGTGTGGTAGTGTAGACGTACCCATGCATGTGAATATTGGCTATTCCCCTTTGGAAAGGAATATCTTTTCTGTCTCATGGTTTTCTTTTTACTAAGGGCTTGTCTACACTCCTACTCATGTCAATGTAATTTATGGCGCTCAGCGGGATGAAAAAGCTGCCCTCCCTAAGCAAGATCAGTTGCATGAATTTATCTACACTACACTATGTTGGCTGGAGATGCTTTCCTGACAATACATATCTTCAACCTACATGAGTGGTGGAAGATTTATGCTAATAGACAAGCACTCCTATTGGCATAATGTATCTTCACCAGCCTTGACGCAGCAGTGCAGCTGCATTTGTATAGCTCCACCGATGTAGCAGTAATGCAGACTTTGCCCATGTGTTAAACCTGGAATATTTGGATTTGCATTTACATTAAAAAGCTTCTCTGCTCCAGATAACCTTTATTTTTATCGTGAGATTCGTTTGTCTAACAAATGTGATGCACAGCTGCAGCAGATCCCAATTTCGGAGCAGTGAAGTAATCCAAAGGCTCAAAAATTCCACATATAATTAAATTCTCACTAGTCTGTGATTTATCTCCCATCATTTGCTGGGAGGATATGTCTCCAATGTTTAGAAATGACTACTGAAAAGTATTCTGTACACACCAATAGGCTAAAGACAACAGAAAGTGGTCAAGAATAAGGAATCTCATACATATAAATATGCTGAAATTCACATTATAATGTACCATCTATAAAGTCATACAGGGGATAAAAAGCTGTAGTCAGTCAGGTAGAAAAGGAAATTTGAGTATTCCAGAGAGACTGACAGATAACTCTGTGGCTACGTCTAGACTGGCATGATTTTCCGCAAATGCTTTAACGGAAACGTTTTTCCGTTAAAAGCATTTGCAGAAAAGAGCGTCTAGATTGGCACAGACACTTTTGCACAAAAGCACTTTTTGCAGAAAAGCGTCCTTGCCTATCTAGACGCGGTTTTGCACAAGACAGCCCCGATCGCCATTTTCGCCATTGGGGCTTTTTTGCACAAAACAGTTTTCAGCTGGCTACACTGGCTCTTTTGCGCAAAAGCATTTCCGGAAAAGGGCTTTTGCCTGAACGGGAAGTCAAAGCATTTGTACAAGAAGCACTGATTTTGGACAGTAGAACCGTCCGTGCTTTTGTGCAAAATCAAGCAACCAGTGTAGACAGCTGGCAAGCTTTTCCGCAAAAGTGGCCGCTTTGCGTCTAGACTGGCAAGTTTTTCCCCAAACAAAAGTGGCCGCTTTGCGTCTAGACTGGCAAGTTTTTCCACAAGCCTGTGTGTATATCCACCTGATAATAGACATGTAGTATAGTTGGCTTTATGAAAAAGGAAATGGCAATGAGATTGCTCAGGCTACTTACTAAAATGTGTGTGCTGCCTCATGAAGAAACTATTAATTGTGAATCCATTGCTGCAGAATTGGTTTTATAATGGCTGAAACCAAAGCTTGAGCCACAACAGTGTAGATAGATAAATACCCCTTTCAGAAAGCATTCGGGTAACTTCTTTCTATTTCTCCATGTGCCCTCAGAAGCCATATATGACCAGGGGCAAAGGAAAGGCTGACATTCAAAGCAAGGTGGGATAAAGGCTGATTAGACTGTGGGGACAAAAGAAAGGAAAGAATGCTGAGCAGATTCTCTGGGTATCCGACTATTCCTAGATTTAAATGCCAACATGAACATTCCATTCATGGAGTTGTTCTAAGAAAAATATTCCCTCCAGTGTTGTTACAGTTTTGTTTGTCAGAAAAAAAATCTACAGATTCAAATTATAACCTATTACAATTGGCATGCAAAACCAATGTCCTTAAACATAAATCCTGAATATTTAGATGTAGTATTTTCCTGATGTAACTTTAAGAAAACATGTTCCTTCTTTATTCTAGTGATTATTCATATATTTATCATTTCTGCATCTATACTTAGGAACAGGATGCCAATGTTGGTAGTGTTCTTTCCTTTATACCACTACCACCTTCCCCTTGTGATTCACTGAACTATCAGTAAGGTAAATGTTAATGGCTTTGTGGGGGAAGTTGATGACACGTGATGGGATTTTTTGTTGGGTTTGAATGGCACCTGCCATGATTTTTCTCAAGTATGGAACGGGCACCAGTCACGCACACAATTCCTGAACTGGTTACTTTTTTGCATAATGAATGGAAAATTAAAGGCTTGTTCCTTCTCTTTAAAAATCTGATGAAATGATAGAGCAGTTTTCTGTTCAAATTGTTTCAAAAGGACTGTTACAGAACAGACAATAACAAACTTTATTTTCAGGGGGAGGAGAACGTTCATGTTTTGGAACAAAAATGAAACTCTGCTGGTCAAAGAGTATTATGGGGACCTCTAGTGGCTAACAAAACTGCTAGTAGCTACCCAGTTTATAATTACATCAAAGCTACTAGTAACCCTTTCTTATTGTAAAACTCAATGGACAAAATTTTCATCTTGGATCCATGCTGTACCTTTTAAATGGCTCATGCCCAATGTAGGGTGTGAGGAAGTCACAAAATGATTCCAGAAACCTAAAAAGCTGTGGGATTCCTTCATTTAGTAAAACTAACTTTATATAAGTCCACTTCATA